AAACGTGGACTACATCCCCTCAAGGAAATATCATCAGAATGCCGCAACCCTGCGCGACATCTGTGCGCAAACTGGGACATGAAGATAACATGGTAAATTCCACCAAGACCGCTGCCGCTGCTTCTGCCCCATCAACACCCCCCCACACACACACACACACCCCACCCAAACACACACACACAGTCACACTTCTCTTTGATTTAACTTGGGTCAACACAATGCCACACAAGTTACACAACAGCTCCCAGGAGGAGGAGGGAGGAAGAAGAAGAAGGGGGCATTAAATTCTCCGGATAAAACAACAATAACAACAAAATCTAATGGAAGCTGCATAAGCCCCTCACCTCTAAAGTTGAACTTGAGAGGGGATGTCTGGGGTGTTTAGCAGAGCATGAGGAGAGGAGGGCGAGAGACCTTAAATAAGATTTGATTCAAAAAGCATATGAACGATAAATTCATACAAAACGTGTTTAAATGAGAGCCGTGTGTCTATTTTTAGAGCAGTGCAGGTAGATGAAATAAACAGGCAGAGAGGAGCAGAGAGGAGGATTATGTGTCTAAATCCACATGTCGGAACATGCACAACAAAGCTATCACATTTCCTAAAGGAGGGGGGGTGGAATGACTGTAAAAAATAAAGTTATAAATGTTTCATCAATTAGAAAATCATTTCAGCCAAGTCCACCGTTCAAGTTCCACCTCTCTCATCGATCTGTAAAAGTAGATGTTTAAACTGCTGGCTGACTGCCTCCCAGAATAATAAGAATTTTTTTTTAAATACCATCTTGGCAAAACATAAAAATGACTGATAATGTAGTTTATTCTAGAGGAAATAAACAAAAAAAAATACAGGCTGTGTAAATGTGTAAAAGCAAGCATTGGGGCTGCGATGAAAATGATGTTCTATAAAAAACAGAAATGTAATAAAATTAAAGAAGAAAAAGGGAAAAAATCGATATTAAAAACACAGGTGCTAAAACTGAAAACTGACCACACGATGTTGATTGTTTTTTTTTTCTGAGGCCAAAAAATCTGAATTGCTTTAGTAACAAAATTTATGCAAAAATAAAATAAGCGTGTGTGTGTCAAGTGAGAGCTATAGGGTGGGGGGGGGGGTCAAAAGTCTGCAGAGGTGATGTATATTCTAAGTGTAAATAAATGATGCACAAGAACAATAAAAAAGAAAGTAGGTTTGAGGTGATGAAGAGGAATTCAAGATGGGGATGTATGGTGGAGGTGGTGTGTGTGTGTGGGGGGGGGGGGGGGGTCTCCCTGCTTTTCTTGTTTTCTCCCCCCTCCCTCTTTCCTTCCCCATGTCTTGTACACTCTCCCTTTATTCTAAAGAGATCGCCAAATAGTAGCCCGTGCAGATAGGGGCGGCAGTGAAACTCATCAGGTTCAAGTCGAGAGCTGGATTTTCTGATCGCGCTCTGCCTCCTAGCGACGGCACGCGGTCATTGTGACTGTCACCCAACTGGACACACACACACAGACTCATACAGAAACACACACTCTGTCTCACTCCAACAGCCTAACACGGGCTACAGTCAGTCAACATACCGAAACACCGAAGTGTAAAGATGCCCAAATTCCCTCGTTTTCGTGTTTGCGGGCACTTTCCGTCGCTGAAAACGCTGCGAGGCGGCGCACCGTGCGGCACATGGCGCGGTGATAAACACCACTTTGCCAATTGCCCTGCAGTTTCTCAGCACACTCATCTGCTCTCTCTCACAATATCACGCTGAAATAACTCTGATGAAGTGGAATTAATTAAAAGATCCTGCGATAAAAGAACGCCGTGCGTAAAAGTAGATTCTGTCCACGGAGTTCAAACAATTTTGTCAGTTTTTTTCCCCTCACACACGCTGCAGCTCCAAAAACCCAACAGGCTGGCATTTATATCTTACCTTAGCTCTGTATAGCTTTGGAATCTATTTTTTTAAATTGGTCCACATTTATCTCTGTGGAAGGAGAGAAAAAAAGACGAACAAAAAGACCGAGCTGGCTATGCTGTCGTCCTGTTGCTGTTTCTTGTCTTTAACTCTGAACTGCAGGAGGATCTGCACTTTCAGGAAGAAAGCCTCTCATCTAAACTAAACATCAATAAATAGCTTTTACACGAGAGGCACAAGGATTTTTTTTAAGTGTAAGAAAAATATCGATCTGTGTCGTCCGTGTTGCTGATACAGAGACTGTCAGACACGAGATTTTTGTCCCCCCCCCCTCCACTCGATCCAAAAATCCACCTTCAAGTTTTTTTGTTTTTGTTTTGGGGGGTTTTCTGAAAATAATCCCAAAAAAGAAGAGATGTGAGAGCGAGCAGATGAACAAGCAGCATGCAGAACTAGCAGGCAGCGATATTCCGGGGTGAGTTCTCCACGAAGCTCCGCGGAGAGGACGCGCTCTGCTACCGGCAGCCCTGCGCGCTTCCACTGACCGGAGCGACCGCGGGGGCACCGGAGCCACAGCGAGTACATTTAACAGCCCACAGAAGCGAGAAGCTGCGGCGGGTTTATACCCACACACGCAAAACTTTTTCTCTGTGACAGGCTTTAAGGAGGAGGGGGGAAGAGATCTCCGACCAGCTTTTACGCACGGAGGTGTCGCACTTTCTCGCCACGCTGTTTAAGTCCAGATGACCGCGGGTCCGAGCGGTGCGTCCGGTGTCCAGGAGTTCCAGCTTCGCTCCCGCCCCCTCCCCCCCGAAAAATCGTAGCTGAATGAAGTGAAAAGGGACCCAGAAATGACATTTTGTTTTCTCATCTTTTACTTACGCGAAAAATCCCGTTTGCTTAAGTGCTGGGGTTTGCCTTGCTTGCGGCGAGACATGGTGGCTGGCGGCGGCGGCGTTCAGCGCGGATCACATCGGGGAGAGCCAGGGTTAGAGAGGAGACTCCGGTGGGGCAGAAAAAAAAATATCTTCATCCAACGCCTCTGACATCCACGAGAAGAGGAGGCGGAGGGGCAAGGGGAGGAAAAAAAATAAAAATAAATTAGAAATAATATAAAGATGGCGCGGAGGCGAAGATGGATCGCGGGATCGCCGTCATGGCTTTTTTGAGAAAGGAGAGCAGAGAGAAAAAAGAGAGAGAGTGAGATAGAGGTGGATGGAGAGAGAGAGAGAAGGGGAGAGAGATGGAAAAAATGGCAAAAGCCCCCCCCTCCCCCCCCACACACACGCCACCCCTCCCCTCAACCCCCCCTCCACCCCCCACCCCCCTCTGAGCCGTGCAAGTTCAAGTGCACGGACGTGACGTTCCCGGCGAACTTGAACGTCAGGCGATGGACAGACACCCGACATACAAAAACATGGGCAGGGCCGAGGCACCCGAGTGGGAGTGGGAGTGGGAGGAGGGACGGACGGGACGCGCAGTAACAACACCAATGGACGGTCATTAGAGAGAGAGAGAGAGGGAGGGAGAGACAGAGAGCTCGGAGGGAGGGGGCTGGACATGAGAAATAGACCCGGTGGAAGCCAATGGACACAGAGATCAGGGGGGCCGGACAAGAGGCACTTGGAGGGAGGGAGGAGTGTGTGTGTGTGTGTGTGTGTGTGTGTGTGTGTGTGTGTGAGCGAGAAAGAGAAAGAGAGGCAGAGATGTCTAATGAAAGCAATATGCAGAAAGAGAGAGAGAGGTGGACGCAAAACAGGGCAAGGGAAACCGCGGACAGGAGCTCACTGGAGGGGGCGGATATGATACTGCTGCATATATACAGGAAGAGAGAGCGAGAGCGCGCGCGCGTGTGTGTGCAAAAGTCTGTCGCATGTAGCGGCTTCTGTTCGAGAAAAGCGCGCAAAAATAAGAAAAAGAAGAAGAACGGACACAAGCTCACCTGGACCGTGGACGGCATGCGCACGGACAAGCATGTGTCCGTAAAGTGCAGGCTCGGAAGGGGGTTTTTTTTGGGGGGGGGGGGGGGGTATCAGACAGAGAGATGCATGTGTTAAAATGACAGACAGCAGCTATCCGGTTGCAGTGAACAGGACAAACTGGTCGGGCAGCCAAAGAAGCACAGGCACCGTCTATAACCTGGGTGGCTTCACATGCGCAAAGTGGGCTGTTTCACTGCTGACCTCCCGCAGTAATAATAATCACAATAATCATAAAACACACACTCGTGTTTTGGAACAGTGTTAAAGTGTCAGACTCCAAAAGCCTAAAAAGTTTAACAAATTATTTACACGAACGTTGTTTTATGACTGTTTAAGTGAGTGAGGCAGACTGTACAGCACACTGATGCGCGATCATTTACACCAGCCTGACTTAACAAGGTCAGAGGAAATCAAAGCCTTCACTCCAACTTACAAACAGGGTTTGATTTTTAGTACTGATTGATTTTAAGAAACTGCTTTGTGTCCTGAAGATCATGCCGGGGTTATTCACGCGAGCGTCACGCACACTGTGCAGAACTTTAACGGTGACATGAGCGTGTATTTTGAGTGGGGGTGTGGGGAGTATGTGCCCACACACGATGGGCACTACAGGGTCAACCCATTGCTTTCTTTCTCCCTATCCAAACTGAAGCCTCTCGCCACCGGCGGGACAGTTAGTGCCCGCTGTAACAACTTTGAGATGAGCCTTAGGTTCGAGCTGCTTACGGTACAGGGGAGGGTGTTTTGCTGCTGCTGGTGGAGGGTGGAGAAGAGGAGAAGGAGGAGGAAGAGGAGGAAGAAAAAGAAGAGGAGGAGGAGGGGGGAGAGCTTGTAAATACTCTGGTAATAAAGGGGGTTTGGTGATAGAACGGCAGCAAAGACGCGACTCCGCTGGTTTGTTCGGAGGACGCACAGAGGAGAGAGTACCGCCGGGGCCGGGCGGAGGAACCGGCGAAGGAGATCGCTGCGGTATACCGAGAGGGGGAGAGAGGCAGACGGAGAGGATCTCCCGGGGAAAAGAAGGTAGAAGCTCACGAAGCACCAGCGGCTGCTGAGCGGGAGGAGAGAGGAGGATCCGGCTGCTGCTTCTGGAGACCCGGAGATACGCGCACTGACCGCAGAGGACGCGCACTTAATACCGAGGGGGTGGTGGAGGTGGAGGGAGGCAAGGCAGAAAGGAGGAGGAGGAAGAGATGAGTGGGGGGTGGAGGGGGGGAGAAAAAGAAGAAGAGGAGGCGGAGGTTCAGCGTGACCAGTGAGTGAAAAATTTCTGCAGGTTGCAACTCGCTGCGTGGCTTATTAGACCGACCGGTTACGAGGCGAGAGTGTTCACGTGTGTGTGTGTGTGTGTGTGTGTGTGTGTGTGTGTGTGTGTGTGTGTGTGTGTGTGCCGGGGGCGCGTGCACGACGATTATCCCACATAGGGTGATTATCCCGTTTGCGAGCGTGTGGTGAAGTTGAGGCAGATTTAAAGCTGAGCGGAGCAGACGGGTTTGATTTACGGCTCAGAGTTTGATACGAAACAGGAGAGCAGCAGTAAACTCCAACATCTGCGTTATTATTTAAAAGTACAATAATAATAATTATAAAATAATCATAATAATAATCCGTGTTACGAGCTACGTGAGTGTAAATAAGAGATTTGTGGATTATTTAATCCAGCGTGTCAGATTTTAGCTGTAACCCGTGTGTGTGTGTGTGTACGTTTGCGTGGATTAAAATATCACAGTAAGTGACATTTAGTTATTTATTTTTTGTAGGCAGGCAGTGAAAAGCAAAGGAATCCAGTGACGACGGAGAGAGGCATAAACCTTTCATTTTTCTGTCTTCACGGAGCGCGTTTTGTTTTGTTTTCTTAGACGTTACGTGGACGTTCATTGTGGATTCCCGGGTTTAGTCTGTGCAGTTAGGGAGACGTTTGTAGCGATTTGTTGTTAGAAATTTACTCTTTTCCCCCCTGAGGTGTGCATTAATCATTCAAAAGCTGCGTTAAAAAAAACAAACTCCGTGCTGAATGTTTCCTCTCTGAAAGCGTTAAACACGGGTTAAAGGTGCCTCTCATTTGATAAATGACTTGGTCCGTTTCAAACTGGGATAAACCGGGCTGGGTGGGGTTGGGGTGGAGTGGGGTTGTTTCGCTCTCGGTCCGGGGCATCTGGTATCCTGGGTGGCCTGTTGCTCGTGCTGGCGACAGGCGGCCACCGCTTCCACTAAACCTGATCCTGTAACTGTAGAAGGTGACACGCGGAGGTTCACCTGAGTGAGAGAGAGGAGAGAGAGAAAACATCCAGGAGCAAGCTGGGGATCTGTCACGTGACTGATCACTGTGGACAGGTTGTTCTAACTTCCTGATCAGCGTTTTTTTGTTTTTTGTTTTGGGGCTGGGGGTGAAAATTGGCTCCGTGTGATAAACTCTTGGCTTCAGGTTTGCGCGCACAGTGGGGCACGAATGTGACGTTAAACGTGGTTGTAAACAGGCCCGGACCATCAGCGTCCTCTGTCACCCGCACTTATATAAGAAGGTTTTGTTTTTGTGTTGTTCATTACCCCCGCGCGCAGATCCGAGAACGCCAACCTTGACCTCTGTCTACACCCATCTCCATCTGTCGGCAACAAAGAATGTCTCTTCCTCTTCCTCCTCCTCTGCTCCCGTACATACTCTCTAAGTCACGGTGGGACATTGATCAAAGCCCGCAGCGGTGCTCGGACTCGGGGAGTGAGCCAGGGGGGGATATGTAAATGGCCGGCGCGTCGCCTGATTCCGT